GGTCCTTCCAGAGACGGACGTCAAACTCAGAAGTCCTAATAATGTTGATAGGGGTGTTAAACCCATACCATTTCACCATTTGCAGTCAGAGAGTGTCACATTTTGATAATAATAATATGTGAGGCAGCGTGGTGGAATCAGGCTCTCGTCAATTTTCTGGTTTTTTGAGTTATTGGTTATCTTAAAGCTTGTTCACTTGTCTTTATTTGGATGGATAAAATATCCATTTATCTTGAATACAAGTCAAGACATTTGCGAAAGAATGAGGTGGGGGTCACCTGTTTTCAGAGGTAGAATTAGTGAGAAAATAGCCGTCAAAGATTAGTTATTTCCTTAGCTTAAGAGTAAGTGGTAACTGAAAATTTACAGTTTTTGAGCCTTTAATCAATGTTTTTCAGAAAAATCCGCACAGAAATGAGTTCTTTATTGAGCATGAAAGGTGTTGAGCCAAAAAACAAAAATTTGATAAAAATCCCAAAACTTGCAGAAAAAAGCAAGTTTCTTCACTGTGATTATTTTGACAAGAGCCTGATTCCACCACGCTGCCTCACATATGTATTTCCTATTCCAATTCTTTTCAAGCTTTTCGTTGACACTATGTAATCATCGCTGTGTCTTGGGGCATCTTGCAGATTGCTACACATTGATAGCTGTCAGTTTGATTTGCGTGAATTCAAACTCATCAAAAGTTAGAAGTGTATTGTTCTCCTAAATTATCTACGAGGGAGGTAGGTGGGTACTCTGTTGAGGTTTGCTCCTTCATTCCTTTCAAACATCTATCATCTTATCTCATCTCCTTTTTTGTGTTTGTTACTCTTTTGTAACACATCTAATCTTCGGCATATACATGACCTAATTGTGTTGCAAGTGCCATAAAACACTTAATAAAACAAAAATTTTCAATATCATGCGGATGGGGACATAAGACATTTCAACATGACAATCACCACATAACAAAAACATATCAGACACACAAAGTCGTCTACTGGATAAAGGAGGCAAGCACAGGTGGGTGTGTTCAAACATTTATTCAAAGATTCTCTGCATGTATGTACAAAATAGTGTCATTCCCTGTACAGAGTAGCATGGCGTATAAAGCACTGTACTAGAGTTATTAATAACGTAAATTAGTCCTTTAGCCTTTAGTGTACAGTGAAGCATTACAAAAACAAGACAACTCATAAATACGCAAATGCAATACTGAAAATGAAATGATCGTTTATATATCGATGGATTCAAGAGGTGAGACATCTGGACAGATAGTTGAATAAAAGGCTAATTGTCACAAAATATCTCGGAAAATGTCACTGGAAATCATACAGAAAAAGAAAAGATTGACGAACAATACAATAGTTAACCATTCTGTATTCATTGAGTTTGTGTACCTTCAGAAATTCTGAGGTTTTTCTACAAAAAAAGCAGTTGTTTGTACTCTGTACCATTATTTCTATCACTACTGCTGTTTGGGGCAAGACTGAATGCTGAAAGTATGAAGAAATTGAAGACAACATTTCTTTACCATTCACAGAGTGAACTATGCTTAGCTTGCACAATAAGAATAGAAAGTGAAAATTCTGATTAAGATTCTTTAACGAAACCAAGAATAAATTTACTCGGTACCGGCTTCGTTTTTAAAAAAATGTCATGTTGAAAGTAAATAAACCGTTACCCTACATATAATCTTAAACATTCACAAGACAGGCTTAGCCTATGTTATTTTTCTATTTGCTTTAAAACATACCAGTCGCACCAGCATTTCCCAATAATATGAAGACGCATCCTTACTAATGGAAATATTTCTTTCTCAGAAGTTTGGCTCATAGCATTTGACTCAAAATATTTCTTTCAAAACATTTAAATCTAAATTTGTGAAACTATGGTTATTTTTCGTCTTTCAAAATGCTGTTGTCCTTTGCTTGTGACAACAACTGCCTCGGCTTGGATCTCTGAGTCTCTGTCTGTCATTTAAGTGTCAGTGTAAGGAGCTGTTGATTAACAGTGACATAATAGACAACAGGCAGATTGGTAATCTGTTCAAGTGTTAACAATAAACTGATCATCTGTTTCTGCATTAGATGTAATACTATGCACAGTGTTGACTGGTATGTTTTTCAGCTCTGCTAAAATATGCAAGCAATAGTGGCATGAACAAACGTATCAAGACAGAGGATGGACATGAGTAGCACCTTTTGAAATGCATTTTCCAGTGATTGAAGCAGATGGGAGTCAGTCATACCTCTGCTATGAACTTTGACACTGATATGAAGAAGGATAAAAAATATGAAAGCTTTTATCAACGAGAGAAAGGACAAAGGGGATCTCAGAGGGGTAAAGATGATAGAAAACTCATCTCAGTATGACAGGCAGAGGAAAATGATTCAGTACAACATGATAGCAACTGCAAGGTGAAAATTACCTACAATTTTGAAATAGAAGCAGAAAGCAATACTTTACTATGATTAAGCAAAGCTTTGCCTCGTTCACCTAGCACCTTGAAAGGGATGAATTATCCATCGGTAGCCACTATCTGCAGTACGTGACAAATAGCCATGAGACGTTCACTTTCTGCTGTCAGTTTATGTTACTTACAATTTTTAACGGCACATGCTGCTTACAAGAAAAGCTATTGTACAAAATGATATTGAGAGACATTGTACAAAAACTGACAGAAAGAAAAACAATTTGTTATTGGGAAAACATGAAAAATGGACAATCAACAAATGTCAACAAGAAAGTAACAAATATCAACAAGAAAAAAAAAATGATACGAAAACAAAATGAGCTGCTGGCTAGTATGTTCTCATCATCGTAATGCTGTGTCATAGACTCTACACTCAGAAGCTCACACTAGGCATACGTCAATAATTATATTTCTAATGAGGCACTCCATTTGATAAAACAATAGTACATTAAGCTACGCTCAGTCTTACATTTCTAAAACAATGAATAATGCCATTTTCTCCTCATCGCAAAAAGCAATACATGCATCCATCTTGTTTTTCTTTTTATTTAGATTCTAAAGCAACAAAAATTCTGAATATTCTGGCACAAACATACAGTTCTTGTTTTACGACAAATGTCTGAGAAATGTAATGACAGTAGTTGTGGGCTATGGTCATTCTCAACTGAACAAAATACCAACCTAAAAATTCGCATCTTTATTTTCTGACTTCTAACTACAGTGCTCTTCGAATTCGAATGCTAGGAAAAAATACATTAAAAAAACTTTGATGACTTACGGTGATACCAGAAGATGCCCAAAAAAGGGAGACAAACATGAATTTACATAAGAATCCTCGAACCCTAGAATGATAAAACTCTTACAGGAGACTAGAGTCATAATGTGTCCCACTGCACTCTCTTTGTACATGTGAAATACAACAGACGCACGCTCATGTGCACATGCATGCACACACACAAAAATACACATACACACACACACTCACAAACAAGCACACACACACACACAGAGGAGCCAGTCAGAACCAGCATCTACACATAAGACAAACTTTCTCTCAAATTCCCACCACGTACAAGTTCAGTCCCACCAAATGTTCCCCCATTGCAGTAAAAGCTGTACACTGTTCTGTACAAAATAACACTCTGACAAACATGTGTGCGTGCACACACACACACACACACACACACGCGCGCGCGAGGCGCGCTTTAGATGCATCGCCTGTCAATCATCTTTTGTGTTATTCAGCATCACAGAGCCCAGTTGAACTGCTTAGTCCATTATGTCCACATATGTGAGGCAGCGTAGTGGAATCAGGCTCTCGTCAATTTTTGGGCATGTAGAGTTATTGGTATCATCTTTAAGCTTGTTCACTTGTCTTTATTTGGATGAGAAAAATATCCATTTATCTTAAATAGAAGTTGAGATATTCGCGAATGAAGGAGGTGGGGGTCACCTGTTTTCAGTGGTAAATTTAGTGAGAAAATGGCCGCCAAAGATTAGTTAAGAGTCCGTGGTAACTGAAAATTTACATTTTTTGTACCTTTAATCAACGTTTTTCAGAAAAATCCACACAGAAATGAGTTCTTTAATGCAAAAATTTGATAAAAATTCACAAACCTGCTGAAAAATGCAAGTTTCTTCACTTTGATTATTTTGACGATAGCCTGATTCCGCCACGCTGCCTCATATATTGTTCCAAGCAGACAAAGGAATCGTCAGGTCAAGCTCTCTGATGCTACCTTACCAATAAGTTGGCAACATAGAATGAGAGAGAAAGAGAGAGAAAGAAATAGAAAGAGAGAGAATGAAATAGAAAGAGAGAGAAAGAAATAGGAAGAGAGAAAGAGAGAAATAGAAAGACAGAGAGAAATCGAAAGAGAGAGAATGAAATAGAAAGAGAGAGAAAGAAATAGGAAGAGAGAAAGAGAGAAATAGAAAGACAGAGAGAAATAGAAAGACAGAGAGAAATAGAAAGAGAGAGAGAGATATAGAAAGAGAAAGAGAAAGAAATAGAAAGAGAGAAAGGGAGAAATAGAAAGAGAGAGAAATAGAAAGAGAGAGAGAGAGAAAGAGAGAGAGAGAGAGAGAGAGAGAGAGAGAGAGAGAGAGAGAGAGAGAGAGAGAGAAAGGAAGACAGAGAGAGAGACAGAGAGGGACAGAGACAGTGAGTGAGAGGCCGGTAGATGGGAATTTGTTTAACAGCAGATGTTTAACAGACACAGAAGAAATATGAAAACAAATAATTTCAAACACGTCTGAGAAAATTGACCTCATGTTCACTACTCTCTCTATCTCTGTCTCTCTCTGTGTCTTTGTCACTATCTCTGTCTCTCTGTCTCTGTCTGTCTCTTTCTCTCTCTCTCTCTAACGAAGACGTTATAGAATCACTGAATCGAGCTCTATGCACACACATGAACAGAAAAGGGACATAAGCAGTGGTATCCCTCATGGCACAAACATTACAAAGGATCAATCCACTCACAAACCATTGCAGACTTGAACAACTCATCATGAAGCTTGAATTTAAATCAGAATCAGCTTAATTAATGTCTAAACAACAGATATAAAGCCGTTCCATGATCAGAACAAAAGCAAATGAAGCCTACTGGTCTTTTGCATCGTGTAGGAAATGCTCTATATATATCACTTCCGTCACAAGAAGACTGATCACCTCCTTCTGACCATGTTGTAATGGATGTGAAACTAAAACAAAACTGTTACTTATTTTTCTTGAGAAAGTTATTGTGATATTCCACACATATGTGCTGTTAATAGAACATTCTTTTGTTTGTTTATTTTTTTCTCTAAGCCTACAAACCGGACAAAGGGAGACTACAGCACTGAAAAGTCTGAGATTTACAAAAGGGGAACAAAAACTTGAAAAACAAAACAAAATCAGGCATGAAGGACAACAGCTACATTGTACTTCTGACCACCAAATGGATTATCCTTTACACAAAAGCCTCCTAAAACTACTCCAGTCTTTTCGTAGCGACGACAGACAAGGTTACACCAGCAGAGTTCAGTCCCTTGTGATGTGTCCGTGTGATCGTGTCGTGTTGTGTGCTACAAAATGTCTCAACTATTTGGCTTTGATGTGTTGCGTCAGAACAATAAGCAGAAAGAAATTTCAAGATCTACATACGTAATAAACTGAAAGCAAAAAGAACAAATCAAAACAAGTCATGGTGTCTAAAGTGACTCTCATTCATGCGGTAAAAATAATCAAAGGGAAGCAATTCAGTCTTTCAGACATGACAAGTTACATTGAGGGAATAGCAGTTGTATTCCTTAGCTTGGTCAGACTCAAATAGTAAGTGAACATGGGCACAGCCAAGCTCTTATTTTTACACAGAGTGAAAAAGTTTTAAAAAAATGAAAACACAAGGGAGTTCATTTGAGTCATCACAAAACATCCGGTTTTAGGCTGTGTTTGTGCATGCACTCACACACTCAATACATTAAACTTTATGAAAGAACATGAGCTCCTCAGTCGCTGTTTCAGAAATCACTGTTGGTTTTCTTTGCCCTTGTCGGAGCAGACTAGATCCCTCGAGCAAGGAGCAACTGGGCAAAGGACAGGCAGTGGAGGCCTCTTGCAATGTCACACACTTGTGCATAGACCTGGACAGCACACACAACTGGAATATCCCAAATTGTTCATGGCAATCTTTATCGCAGTACACACAGCCTAAGAAGAATTGTTTTATTCTGGGATTCCAGTCCGTTTTGACCATTATATATATCCATTTCACGGGATTAATCTGTGTAGTCTTTGGAGAAAAACATCCCATGTTCACAGCGATCAGTGAAGGTACACATATGTTTCAAAAGAGTTCTTGTCTTCAGACTGTTGAAGGCTGTCAGTCTCTGTGCACCAACATGAGCTCACCATTGTGGCTCACACAGCTCCACTGCTGCTCCTGTCAAGATTACGGCTTCTCCAATTACAAAAATAGGCAAACCGTCAAGGTCTGTAAGTCTGAATTTGACCCTTTATGTTGCTCACTCAGTGTCTGGGTCCAGTCACGTGTCATTTGTACAAGGACTAGCACATGTACCTCAAGTGTGCAGACTTAAAGCTTAAGCAGTGACCTCATTCAGAGCAAAAAGGCAGATCATAAGTAAATTTCCTTCCACACATGTCATTTACTTTTTTGTCAGCTCTGACAGATGTTTGTTACAACCTGTGTCAAAGTTTGCTCCTGTTACAGAGGTACAGACCACCAGTTGGTGCTTCAGTGAGAATGGCATAATTTACAGGGATATAGACATAATGCACAAAGAATCTCATCCAGGAGCTGCGTTTAATTTGAGGCAATCTGAGTAGCATGCAGCGAAATGTATCTTGTGCTTACAGTAGAGAAGACACCCTTTTCCTTCAACAAGCAACAATATTGAAGCGATTTGAAGCAACTGTATTCCAGGACATAGGTCTCAATGAGCCATCGTCTTTGCAAATGACCTTTTCCAGTAGTGAATATTTTTCTAACATCTTAGGGAGTTACAGGAAACTTGCAGTAACAACTGCACAAAAAGCCATGAGGGTCACAATGTGTCACCTCCAGAAGAGCACTATGAGCACTGTCATTGCATTGAAGAGCCGAAATCTCCGGCACACAAGTAGCTCATTTCATATCCCCAAACAACTCTGAAAATGACACACACATTCTGTGGCAAAACATCTCAGTCCTTTCTGTGATCACTCATCCATCAATGTCTGTCGCCTCCTATCATAACCAACTGCCGTTGTCTTTCTCCAGGACCGCTGCGGCATCCATGCGACCCATGACCCTCAGAATATTCATGAGGTCGGTAACAGCCGTGTCCTCTCTGTGTCGAGCTTCCCACAAGTCCAGGATGTGTTCCGTCGGGGATGACTTGGTGGCGAAAAAGTTTATATATCTGTGAAATAAAATAGAAATGAAATGATAACCTTGTTGTCTACAGAAAAAACCATACGTGATTGATCAAACTGGACACACACTGCTTGTGGAAAGATGTCAGACACTAAGAGAAATGGAAGTACTTAAGAGTGCAGAAAACCCACACACTAAAAGCAGGGTCAAGCGGAGGAAATTCATTTGAGCAAAACAAACTGCCTGGATGAAGTATATATTCTCAAATTCATGTGCAACATTCACAGAATGCAAACTGGCACGCAGAGAAAGTTGGAGCAGCAAACCTCCACTTATCACTACGTAGCATTGGACAGAAGGGTGAAGGCCCAGCTGCTGCTATATCAATAACAACAATAATGAAAGACAAAAACTTGGCACCGTTCTCCTTTGACTATCCGAAAACAAAACACAAAAATTAGACAGATACAACAGACACACTGTTTCTGTTTCACAAAAAGGCCACAAAGTATATAAGACCGACTTACCTATCTACAGTAAGGGCTTGAGCCAACATTCTCCAGTCATTTCCTCTTGCATTTGGTGGGTCCAACAACATACACAGCTGGGCTTTGATATGGGATGGCAACCTGGGAAAAGGAAAGACAATAAAACCCATTGAAAATTTCCTTTGACCATATAATTTGTCTGTGCTTTTCATTTATAAGAAGTACGTTTCACATATATATATAAATTAAAGGTGAGTGACAAATCCTAATTATATTTCCAAAAAAGTATACCAAGGTTTCCTTACATACCACAGTTGATCCTGTATGCTTAAACTAAAAGTGAAGAATGTAGGCCTATATGGTATTGAGCATAAATGACAGACTATCCTCCAACTTCACAGTCAAGCTGATTGAACAACAAAACCTGACTAAACACACTCGACTGTCCAGACCTACATACCTGAACACCTGAGCCGAGGGGTCAAGGGTCACCATGGAGTGGAACCCTGAGCTGGCGGTGGAGGCTGCCGTGTTGACCGTGGAGGATCGCTGCTTGAGGGTGTTGCTCTGTCCCGGGCAGCTGGCTGCGTTCTGGGGGGACAAACAGAGGGAAATAAACGTATGGCACTTGAAGATTACGATCTGAGGGGGAGGAAACAAGTTTTAAGCCGTTTTGAGCCCAAAACAGAATACAACAGGACCAACAGTCCATCAATCAACAAAAGAAAACTCATTTGCTGAAATCGTAGAGCAGGAGGTTTCATGAAATCTGTCATCAAATAAGTGAAGTTAACATCTACACACGTAAAAGTAAAAAAATAATATGGTAATGAAATTAATAATAATAATAATACTATCTGAAATGCGTTATTGTTATATATTATTATTATGACATCATTGAAAGATGAATAACCGAACGACCATTGAAGGGAGAGAACATTTCTACTGCCAAACATTTCACGGGTTACTTCCCTTACATCGTTACACGCGCATTGCAAACTTTAGCGGTCTCTCAGGTCTTTGAATACCCTGATGTGTAGGCTACTGTTCTTTTCTCAGCTGACACACCCTGCATACATATGGTTAGTGCGCATGTCATTGAGTTCAAACAGAGCTGGGGCTGCTATCTAAGACGCACCGACTGGACAGCGACCATGATACATAGCCCCGCGAGTCTGGAGATTATTTAGTACATGCATCATCAGACTGCACTGTGCTAGGATGTACCAAGGCACGCCGCTGCCTCTTTACTGACGTAATCTCGGGCTATCAACGCACCCACTGTACCTGAACCGACACTGATTAGCGCTGGGCCCCACTTCTTAATATAATATTCACTCTTGACTTTGGGTGCTATGCAAGCTTAAGGGTGTTCAGAGCACGACACACAAAAACAACTGAACTGAGCGGGACCGACGAATTATTCCTCCTCTCCGCACAGATCTCTCAAAATGTAATCCACCTTTCATTTTTTAAAACCCCAAACAACACCAAAAAAACAAGAAAAACCCCGCATACACTTGAGCTAGTAGAAGTTCATTGACATTCTTTGTTGTACAAGTTTTGATCTTTGTTTTTTTTTATACCATCGCAAAATATGATGAAGAAAGGTGTACCATTAAATTTTAATGAGAATTAAACTTCTCGTTTCTGAATTTTTAAATTTTATTTTAAGACTAAATCTAGATCTATTGTTCCCTTGCCGGATGAGAACTGTAATAATAGTGAGTTTTAAAATATTTCTTTCTCAATCTCTGTAGCACCAAGTGTAATTCCCAAGTTTGAACGGTCCTCGTGTCAAGATAAGATATTGCAGCAGCATATTTCCTTAAATAAATTTTGTGTATAACGAACTTTAAAAATAAAACAGTCTCATACCGACCATAACTACTTGATGAACTGGTACTCGTTCTTTTTCTTCGTTTCTTTTCTTTTTTTAAAGGGATAAGACAGTAAGAGACACCGGGTTCTCCAGAGGTAAACGAAGTCTGGTAAACAAAGCCAAGGTGTTGCTTATCTGAGGACGGGTCAGGACTAAATTCCTACCCGTAGAAACACTGTGTGTGTGTGTGTGTGTGTGTGTGTGTGTGTGTGTGTGTGTGTGTGTGTGTTATTGTGTGACTATTAATGAGAGTGAGCGAGTGTTAAATAATAAGTCCAGTGGGCTTTTTTGTGTATCCTCACTTTAGAAAAAGCGACAATGAACAAAGTTACCAGCCATAGCGAGCTATAAACTTAAACATTGAAGCTCGGTAT